TTCCGTAGGCAAGAAGGGTCCTGGCAGGGCTTCGTGCCTTTTCTGTGTCTACTCCCCTCCTCCAGGCCTGCACCCTCAAGGATGTTTTTTCCCCCCACCCGGTCTTTCTCATGAATGCCCAGCGGAGGTCTGTGGAGAAGACCCTGTGAGCAGGTACAAACTCCCCTTGTACCTGTGGCTCCCAGACGTTCTTCATTCTCACCCTGGCCACTCCCAGCCTCTGCAACTTGTTAACATGCATAACTCAGTTCTTCTCACCCACTTATGTGGCAGTCAGTGTCCCTTCTTCCCAGGCTTTGCCAGAGGTGAGCCAATGCTCACTTTCTGTTTTCCTTGGAAGAGTCTGCCTTTCCTTAGATTTCAGGCTCTGTGATCTCAGCTCTCTGATTTAAGAAAAGTTAAGATCCTTTTAGGTTGTTGCTCTTTTTCTTGTTAGGATAGGATTAATACTTCCCCCAACTTTCTCTACCTTAGGCAAAAGCTTCTTATCCACACCTGCATCTTGATGATGAAAAGGTGAGACCATAGGCAATCCAGAGACCAGTCAAGAAGTTATCCCAGATGGATTGATTTCTTGTCACAAGGAAGACCTGCAAGCTCTGCGCTTTTGTTTTTTTTTGTTGTTGTAATTTTTTTTAAAGATTTATTTATTCATTTTATATTTTATTATTGCTGCATTGGGTCTTTGTTGCTGCACACGGGCTTTCTCTAGTTGCGGCTAGCAGGGGCTACTCTTCGTTGCAGTGTGTGGGCTTCACATCGCGGTGGCTTCTCTTGTTGCAGAGCACGGGCTCTAGGCGCGCGGGCTTCAGTAGTTGTGGCACGCGGGCTTCAGTAGTTGTGGCTCGCGGGCTTAGTTGCTCTGTAGCATGTGGGATCTTCCCAGACCAGGGCCTGAACCCGTGTCCCCTGCATTGGCAGGCGGATTCTTAACCACTGCGGCCACCAGGGAAGTCCTGCTGTTTTGTTTTTTAATTAAAATGTATGTGTTGGTTACCCATGTGTTTGAGTGGCTGAAAGCAACCACAGATATTTACGCAATTCCTACTGTGCGCAGTGCTGAGCTCATGGTGGCGTATGACAAGCTGGCAGCAACAGAAACTGAGGCAAGTAGATTAAACTACTGTGAGAGCCCGGGATCCCACACCAGGGTGGGACACCTACAGACCCCAAATGAGATTGCCACGAAGTTAAATAGATTCATCTATTCTGAGTTTGATCATTTTTTTTTCTTTTGATGTTAAGATGTTTATATTTGGTACAAGTGAAGGTTGTCCACTTGGTGTGACTTTCTAGGTATGTGTGTTTGGGTTAATGTTGTAATCTTACTTGTGAGAGAACTAACGAGGACCACCAGGCAGGGCCCCTAGTACTCTTGGATGTGGAACAGACAAAGCACTGATAGGATTTCTCCCCTTAAACACTGCTCCTGTTATCCCGTCACAGCCCTCGCAGTGCGTCTCTTCCTGCTCTTGCGCATCATCTTCTTATCTCTTGCTTTATCGCTTATCTGCTGAGCTCTCGGGGAAATGCCACATCTGCAGAGTGCTGGAGTGCAGGTGAGTGCCTGCGATGGTGTGTGGGGCGAGACTGCTGGCCCTTTGCCTTGGGGAGGTGTCATTTCACAGGAGTGTCACCATGATGGGCTTGGCTCTTTGAGGCATCGAGTGTGTGTGGAGGGCCTGCTCTGTGTTCAGCTCTGTGCCAGGCAGGCATTCCAGGGCAGGTGGGGTGGGGGAATGACGCAAAAAGTGTTAGAGCCAGGAGCCAGGAGCCTCCACAAGGATGGAAGAGAGGAGCTGGGGGTGTGGAAGCAAATCCGCAGGCCATGTCACCTGTCAGAGGCTGCTTCCTGTCAGGAAATGCCTGTACTTTGGGTTCAGATCCCAGCCGTCATTTCCTGTATTAGACCAAGTGATTTAACCTCCCTGAGCCTGCTTCCCCATCTGAAAATTAAGGTTAGTAATGCCTGCTGTGAGGGGTCATTGTAGGGAGTAAATGAAGTGACGTATAAAATGCTGGCACATGGGTGGCAAGTAAATCACAGCGATAGCCATCTTTACGTGCGGTGTGTCAAGTGCTGTAATGTCTTCTGGTAAAAGCGGACAAGGTTGCAGAGAAGGGCTGTGTCCTGGTGAAGGTAAGAGCAGGAGCGAATGCTGTGGCTGGAGGAATAGCCCAGGGCAGGCAGAACCCTGGACTTGTGAGCAAGGCTGGAGGCTGGGTACCTTCTGACAGTCACTTGCTGTCTGAGCCTCAGGTTCCTGCAGCCCTTTCTTCCAGAGGCCACCTCCCTGGCTTGGGCATGTGGCTGCGGTCCTCAGTACTCTTGGAGCTGGCTGGGCTTGGGCTCAGAAGGAGGGTTCCTGTTGGTAAAATCAGCGGCGCTCACCCCCCCCACCCCTGCTTCCAGAGACTCGGCTCGGCACTGTCCATTTCTGGGCCACTCTGCAGAATCACTCAGAATTTCCATCCCGTCCTTCCCAGGCAGCAGGCAGTGCCCGTCTGGCTGTCAGGACAGAGGGCTGCCAGGTTCCCACCCTCCCTCTGGTGCCCTTTCCTGAGGGAGCCAGGGGGACTCAGTGTCCAGAGGAAGAGCGTGCATGTCTGAAAGGGGGTCCTTTGGAAGCAGTAGGCACTGGCTTGTCAAGAAAGGCCTGTGGGTGATTTGCAGATAAGTGCCTCTCACAGCCCAGCCCTTGGAAGGGCAGGCCCAGTCATCACCCCCATTTTATAGAAGATGAGGAAGTGGAGGCCCAGAGGGATTAAACCTCTTGCCCAGGGCCGCCTAGCTGGTCAGTGGTAGAGCTCAGATATCGACCACGGCCTGTCTGAGTCACTGCTCTTCCCCGCTGCACTCTGCTTTGTCTCCCGACAGCACTGCCTGGGTCTGGGGGCCGCTGCGGTGAGGTGAAGGCCAGTCAGGGCTTCTGGAACATTTCCTTTTGGGGTGGGCTTTGAGAGCTGAAGTGTATCGATTCCTGGAAGACTGGAAGAGCCTAGCCCCGGTGGGCCGAGGTCTTACAAAATGGCCACAGTGCCGCAAGCAGACAGGCCGACAGTGGGCATGTGGACATGGCCCTGCTCCTGCTTTCAAGAATCCTCCTCAGGCTTGTGTCTCACATTCAATTTCTCTTTAACCACCAGGGCCTGCATTTTTCCAAGTTCAAATCGACATGCACTTGAGAGTTTGTTATCTATGAGATTAGAACACTTTCCTAATAAAGGAAAATGTGCAGGTAGGGTCCACGTGCTAAACTGCCCTTCTATGATGGTTGGGAATCCTCTTCCGGGCTGATTCTTCTCAAGGACTCTGAGGCCTGCCCAGGTGAACATGTCCAGGGCAGAGCATCTTCCTGGGACTAGGCCACTGGATTTATCCAAAAGATGGGCCAACTCAGAGGAGATGCAAGCCGGCTGCCAGTGGCAGGCGTGAGGCATCCTAGGTGAGCCCCAGTCATAGCCAGTATTCTTCAGTGGCTGTGGCATTGAGGGGTGGAGGAGTGCTGGGTGGAGTACCCTGGCTCTGTGGTGTATGGGGAGTTGACAAGCTTTGAGCCTAGTGTTGCCCTGGGTTTAGAGGAGAGAGGAGCGATGAGTGCAGGCAGAAGACAGGAATAGGGGACACAGGCACATGGGCAGGTGGCAGGCCCTGTGGGTGGTGTGGCATTGATTCATCCCACTCATGTGTCCTGGCCCTGGAGACGCAGTGGCTGGAGGAACAGGGCAGGGATGGGGCAGGCCCAGGTGCGGAGCACAGAGGAGCTTCTGATTGGGCATGGGGGGTTGCAAGGTGAGTGGAGGACAGGATACTCGGAGCAGGGGGAAGAAAGGGTAGATGAGGGGCCCTGGGATCTGGGCACGGGAGCACTGAGGTGGGAGCGGAGCTGCGGAAGGAGGCAGGCAGGAGCAGGATGCCCCGTCCAGGGGGTTGAATTTTCTCCCAGTGCCAGTAGAGAGCCCTGGATGACTGGCAAAGCCAGGGAATGATGTGGTAACATTTGGAATGTCCATCAGTGAGGCTGTGGTTGAAAACACTGAGCCCCAAGTGTGGCTGCATTTATGGGTTACTGGGGTTTGGGGGCTGGCCGAGAGTGTCGGCCTCACTGAGCATGTCATTCCCACAGGGGGCGAGCCCACAGAGGAACTGTAGGTTCCTGAGCATCTGCCCACCGTGTCCTTGGGAGGCTCCCAGCATTCTGCCCTGCTGAACACGTGCACGATGCTTCTGGGGTCAGGAGAAGCCTTTGTCTGTGTGCAGAGCAGTGCCTGACTTTTGGGGGACACGCATTGGACTGGAATGAGCCCCCTTAGGAAATCACTTGCCCTCAGTGGTGGTGGAGGAGGAGGAGGATGGCTTCTGCATTTGGGAACTGAGGATCTTGGGCAGAAACACCAAGTCCCTCATGTTCCTGGAGTCTTGTCTGAAGCAGCCCGGGGTGCCTGTCCTGTGGATTCTGACTCCCGCCAGCCATCAGGCCAGGACGTTCACGTAGAATCTGTTTTCCCGGGGAATCTGGCCAGGGCAGGGTTGGAACCTCCCGCTGGTTCTGGGCCATCCCCATTCCCGGGGTGGGGAATTGCCTTGAGCTAACCAGGAGGAAGGGTGACTTCAGAGCCAGGCTGGGCTTCAGGGGTCCCGCACTCTGACAGGCCTAGTGGAGGGCATGCCATGTGAAGAGCTGGCAGCCCCCGGCTTCTCTGAGGGCCTCCAAGAGCCCACCTGCACATCCCTCCCAGGCCCCTGCAGCCCGGACTGCCAGGTGCTTTGATTCCGCTCCTCACTCATGGCCTCTGCTCAGAAAGGGGGGTTGGACGGGAGCGCGCAAGCCCGGATGTGGGAGTCCCGCCACACCGCCATTGCTCACCAACATTTGGAACTCGTCTTCTCGAGTTTGCTGGTGGTTTTCCACTTGATCCTTCAAGGAGCTCTTCCTCTCGGTGTTTCCTCAAGCACTGACTCAAGACTAAGGGGTTCTCTTTCCTTTCATTGTCTTTAGCCAGAAGTGGATTCCCCCGTCCCACCAGACAGGGGCAGGAGTCAGGAGTCGATGCAGAGCCAGCCCCAAGAGCCCGTCAGCATTCCCCAGACACTGACCAGCACGCTGGAGCACATTGTAGGCCAGCTGGACGTCCTCACCCAGGTAGGCCGTGACGTGAATTCACCCCATCGTCTGCACTTGGCCTGGCATTTGGACCATTTGAAGTTGGCCAGCGAGTGCTGGTTGGTTTGTTTTAATCTGTCAAAACTTTTAGTATTTCGTCTTTTTTTTTTTTCTCTCCTTAACCACATCACCATCATCACACCCAACAAGGTAACGATAATTCCTCAATACCATCCAGTATTCTCAGGGGTCACTTTTAAGGGGTTCAGGATGCACAGAGGGAGAAAGAACTAGGTAAGGACCGAGGGGATGCGGGCGGCACATTAAAGAGCCGAGGCGACATCGCTCACGGCTGTGGCCGTGGATCAGGTGCCCAGCTCCCTGGGCCTCCCCATTCCTGCTGTCATTAACTGCGCCAGGCCAGGTCGAGGCCCGCTCAGAGCCGCGAGCTCCTTGCCTCCTGGCTCCCAGGCGGCGACCCCAGCAGGCCCAGTGCAGCTGAACAACCCACCGTCCCTAGACACCGGCGAGTTCCTGGAGGGGAAACGATTGACACAGCTGCCTGCACTGCGCCCCCAGCCCTCCCCCGCGGTACCTGCGTCTCCCGGCAGGGCTGGGAGCTGCAACTGGCTCCCGAGCCCGGCCTACCCGGGTCCCCCGCTCTTCCTGATGCCTGTTCCCACACCGAGCTCTCAGCACCACGACCTCCAGTTGCTGGGTTTTTAAAAAATATAATTATAATGTACCTATTTTCCAGCCCAAATTAATGAAATAGAAGTGCCTGCCCTGGGCTCCTGGCTTTCAGAGCCATCCGATCCCTGGCCAAGCCACTGGACCCCAAAATCACCAACACTGAATCCTGCCAGGGAGTGCCCACCCAGTGCTGGCCTGGGCCACAACAGAGCTTTGAAAGAAACGCTATCTGTTCATTTGACTCTTCGCTGGGTGGGCACTCCAGGGACGTGCCAGGGAACTGCGTGCAGTGAGTCAAGGCATCCGAGAGCCCAGGCTCTGGGTTCGAGCTTGTACTGCTTCTTATCCTCTGAGCGACCTTGGAGACATCCCTTCGGCTCTCCAAGCCCTGGTGTGTTTATCTGTGAGGAGCCTGCCACGTTTGTGGTCAGCATTAAAGGAGATGAATCTGCAGGAAGTGTTTGACCTGTGCCTGGCCCTAGATAGCTGCTCAGTAGATGTTAGCTGTGGCACTGACCACCCTCATCAGGGAGATCAACGTGGCCCCATCACCACCAGGAGCATAAGTGCATCTGGCAGCTCATAACACAGACTTGCATTGCAGCAATTCCAGTGAGAGCAAAGCGCCCTGACGAGAGGTGGCAGCCAGCACTGCGGGCATGCCCAATGGGGCGTCTTCTGCTGGGGTGGAAGAGCGGTCCTGCAGAGGGAACAGCCTGCCTGCAGGTCTGGAGGGGCCATGGGCACATCCAGGCAACCAGCAGAGCCCAGCACAGCTGACATGGGGCATGTAGGTGGTGGTGGCAGCTGGGCCGAGGCAGGACTTAAAGGTCCTCAGGCCCCTTCCCTCCTGGGCTCTGGGTGCAGACCCCCCTGTCTGCGCTGGCTCACGGCTAGAGGGGGAATGCAAGAGGGAGGCCGAGGACCCTTGGGTCTCTGACGGAGATGGAGCTGAAGTGGCGTGGCGTCCCTTCCCTACCTCTGGATCTGAGGCTAGGTGCGAAAACCTCCTCAACTTTGTGTCCCATGGTCCACGGCGTGTCACAGCATCCCAGCTGGTACTACACACACTGGACCCACTGAAGGAAGGACATTTGAGGGGAAAGGTCAGGCATCGGTGACTAGGGGATGGTGGGACTATGAGCACATCATACAGACATTGCCGAGAGCCTCTTAGGCCTGGAGGAGGAGGCGTGTGCTGAGAGAGGGAGATGAGCAAAGACGTAGAAAACTTCTCCCACCTCAGAGCCGTCAGAAACTGCCAAGCCTGCCTCATGTTCTTCACAGCCTCGTCAAGTGAGAGTTCAGGGGAGGTGGAATGAATTAGAACTTTATAGGATAAAATTGGAAATTAAGTCTGAGAAGGTAGTTAAAAATAGCCTCATTGGATCCAGAGGAGTATAACACTAGAAACATTTCCTGTCACTGTGTGTTAAGGGCGTACATGGAAGGTTTTTGTTATGTGTTAGCAGTCAGGAGTCTGGTAGTAACTTTGTAAGAAACTGGCATCACAGGGAATAAGTGAAACCTTGGCCTGTGGCCGGGGTCACACCGCTCAGCCCCTTTGCAAATCCAGACAGCACTGCCCCCCCACCAGTGGCCAAGCCCATCAACCAGTCGCCCGCTTTGCATTCCTGAAGGCCACAAAGTGTGGCGTGTTCCTGATGGAGTCAACATATTTTGAGGCAACTTGGGTTCCACAGATGAAGCCCCCAGTTGAGACCTTAGAGTGCAACCTGTTTTCAAAATGGCGTGGGGAGGTGTCTGCACGAATTTGCGTACTACCTCGGGCTTGGTCGCCAGTTGTTTTCCAGGCCCACGTCCCCTCCTGGAGCTGGGGCCCTAGCTGAGGTGTTTAGCTCCAGCCAAAGCTGCCCCTCCCGTTGGGACCAGCCTGGCTGCGGGCAGCCCCCTCTCTGGAGGCTCCCCCGAGGCCTAGAGCCGGGTGACCACTGCTGTCCACCCCATGCGGGTAGTTCAGCTGGGGCTCTGCGCCTACTTGGCCTGTGGGTGTTGGCCTCAGATGCTTTCCCCTCAGCGGCGCTCCTCACCCTCCTGGCGTGCGCCTGTGCTCTGGAGGAGCAGGGGTGTCGCGACCACCCCGACACTGACACCTACTTCAGAGTTCTCTGTCTGAATCATGCTGTTCTCCTCCGTCCCGCCCCATCACTGCCCCTTCCCTCCCCCACAAGGAAGTCTATTTCTAAGCGGCCTCCGAGAGGGACACTGCCTTCTAGGTCCTGTGGGCCTCCGTCCTGAAGAACATCCTTCAGGGAAGAAGCCCAGGGCTGCAGTGGGCAGTGGCCAGGATGTTTACTGAGCGAGTCACAGAGCCTCCAGTCCCAAGTGACAGAAGGCGCTCCGCTCTGGAGGTTCACTGTCCTCAGAGCCTGCCTTCCCGCTCAGCAGGCTGGATGCGGCCCAATGATCGAACCCTCTCTGAAGGTGTGTGGCCCATTTGGCACCCGTCTGAAGGCTAAGGACCCGGCCTCAGTCCTCGTCCGTAGCCGCTCTGTGCAAACCAGAGGCCCAGAGGTCAGGCGGCTGAGCAGGCCTGGGGGAAAATGTGGCTCAGAGCTTGTTTGGGTGCAAGTCCTGGCTTTTCCACTTGTAGCTCAGTGACCTTGGGCAAGTCACTTAACCTCTTCGTGCCTCAGTTTCCAGATCCGGGACACAGAGCTGATAATTGCATCCATTTTACGGGCCTCTTGTGCGGATGGGATGTGTCAGCCTGTGTGAAGCTCTTTGAACGGTGCCCAGCAATGCCATGTGCTGCTGACGTGTTCAGTGCTGCTCCTGCTGCTGACCTTGTCACTCTTCAGGGCCTGGCTGGCATGGGTGCAGGGGGATCCTCACGACGGCACCAGAAACAGCTCCCCAGTTCCCCCTGCCTCCCTGCCCAGGAGAGCCATTCCCCCGCCCTCACAGCAGGTGTGGAGGGTTCCCTCCGTGCACACGCGTTCACTGAGCCTTTTCTGTGTGTGGGGCCCTGAGCGAGACCCAATCCCACCCTTAGGAGGGCCCAGGACTGAATCTGCTGATGTCAGAGCCAGGCCTCCTAGGAGGAGCAGGCAACCAGGACCGTGGGAGACAACTGGGCAGAGTGCGCCAGACGGGAGTCCCGTGGGCCAGGTGGAGAGGGCCACGAGTCCTTTGGCCTGGGCTAACAGAAGAAGCAGCGTAGGCGTTTGCACTCCTGGTGCGGCCACTGAGCAGGGCAGAGTCGGGCCAGACCCACGCTGAGGGTCTGTCATGGAGTAGGGACAGGGACACAGAGAGGTTGGGACCTGGGCCGGGGGTGGAGCTGTCAGGGCCCTTCCCCCAGGAGGTGAGTTCTGCAGCCGCCCTGGCTCAGGTTCACGGCAGGAGGGAGGAAGCGGGTGAGGAAACGGGCAGGACAGCACAGCAGTCAGCCCCTGCGATGCCGCTGGGCTCCCGAGGGAGTGAGGCGCTTCCTTTAGCCCCCGTGGAAAGCGGACTGCCCCAGGGACATGTGCGGCATCTGAATCCAGCCCTTTAACTCCTGAATTGGGGTTGTGTGGTTTTATTTTTTTAGGAATACCTTTTTAGTAAAGTGCATACATTGTTTTTCAAAAGTGTATTTATTCAGGGAGATAGGATGGGATGACCTTGCAAGGTACACAGCCCTTCGTGCATCTCATGCCCGGACAGGTTCACTCTTCGGGCTGCCCCGGGCTGTCGGGTCTCCCCACAGTGTTGTTTTAGATGGGAAGTCCTCAGAGTGTGGGGATCACTTCCTCATCATAATTTTCCTCCTGATGTTTATCTGAGGCCTGCAACTTTCCAAGGGCTTTCCTCTGCAGCCCTGTGTTATCCTCCTGCCTGGTGCTCACAGGTCACCTCATGCCCGGTGCAGATAGGGTGTTGTGCCTAGATACGGCTTGTGCCTGGGCCAGCTCTGGGGTCCACTCAGCCTGGGGCTTCTCCAGGATGCCAGGTGATCCTGAGCTCGACCTGCTGTAGGTCAGAGCTTCCCCAGCTTCCCTTGCTAACCATTGTGTAACCATTCCCTTGCTAACTGTGTAGTTAGGTATGGCTTCATTGAGAAGTTTATCTGCAAACCAAACTTGACCTTTCTGAAAGTTAAGGCCAGAAGCTCTTGCTCAGCCCTCTGTGATCACAGAGTCCAGCAGGCCCGGCCCCTGAGGTCACCAGCCAGAGAGCACACCCCCTTGCCCTGGCCCTTCTTGTGTGGGGGAAACCCCCCCTTGCCCCTGTGAGATTGCTGTTTGGGGCCTCACTGAGCCCCTCAGTACACTGATCCCAGCTGGACCCTGTGTCCTGAGCAGCCAGGGTGTGTTTGGCCTTACACGTCCCTATCAGCT